GCAAACATACACCAGGCAACAAGGGCACATCACGGGACAACAGAGTAAGCACCTTTTTAAAGAACTGAGTTGGCCAGGTTAGCCTTTATCTCACCATCTGCCTCATCTTAGTGCCGAAGTGCTAGGTTACATTCAACTTTCTTTAATCCTAAGAACTGACACTTAGCTTCTGAACACTGTCTTATTACATCACCAACAAGGCACTAACTTCCTGTTTACTTCTAATAATAGGCGAGACAAGTAAGCTTCTTCACTAGACAAGGTATTAACAATGGCCTGAGTGAGTAACAATAATTTTCCTGATTACTATTGAAGGTAAGTCATTTAAAATTATTCAAATCAGGCAGTTGTGTGTATTTATAGTCCCAGGAAGGACTGTTTGAGCCCAGGAGTTTTCATAGGCTTTAACTGAAATAGGCTAAGACATAAATCCCAAATTTAGGTTCTAAACCATGATCCATGTAAACAAATAAGGCACGTTATAAACATGAAAAATAAAAACTTAAAAAGTAGTCCAATGGTAGAAAATATCCAATTATGCTGGGTGTGGTAGTGTATGCCTTTAATCTCAGCTACTTGGGAGGCTAAGGAAGGCCTGAAAATTCCAGGCTAACCTGAGCAACTTAAGACTCTCAAAATAAGGGCTAGAGATGTAGTGCCCAGGGGTACAGCATCTGTTTCCCTAGCACATGCAAAGGCCCTGAGCTCAATCCCCACCACCACAGAGAGGAAGAGAAGAAAAAAATTATACATAAGCCATGAAATTATAGAAAGGTAGGATAAAGTGAATAAGCATTTCATTTAGGAAGAAATAACCAAGAAATAGTGGAATTACAACCAAGAGATCTCATAAGTAGGATAAATTCAGATATAAAAATCTGGTCAAAGCTCTCTAAATGACACACAAGATGAAAGTATAGTAGCGCAACAAAATCAAAGAGAAATACATGATATAAAAATACTATCCAGGCATGGTGCTGCTAACCTGTAATCCAAGCTGCTGGAGAGGAGGGAGGAATCACAAGGCTAGCCTGGTCAATTTAAGGAGGATCATCTTAAAACTACATTTTTTTATAAAAAGGGATAAGGGGGCTGGGGATTTACCTCAGTGGCACCATGCCTGCCTCACAAGCATGAGGTTCTGAGTTCGATCCCCAGTATCCCCCCCGCCAAAAAAAGATTTGTTAGAACAGAAGTTCTAGTGGGTAGCTAACAGCCTTCCTCATTTTGTATTCTTTGGGACTACTGTACGCTTATTATACCAGGTAAGTACTGATTAAACGACTACCCCTTCCTTATCTGGGATTTGTAATTCTTTACCAAAAAGGGGCTTCAAAAATCCCCACAGAACTTTTCAAAATTTTTTATTTTCAAAGAAAATGGTTTAGTAAATCTAAGACCCCATGTAATTGTTCTTTAAAAGCAGAACCCACAAATACAATTATAATCAGCTCTTGTATATACTAATAGACTAAACTGCTATTCAAAAACAAGTGAAAAAATAATCCAAAATTTGACAATTTAATGTTAAGACCATAATTTCTTTAAAGGAATCATCAAAGAACAGTGTCTTTCTATATTCCCCAGGCACAACTATCCCACATAGTAAGTTGGCTAGCTCTAAGTACTACCATTAAAAGAAACACACGCAAGATATAGACTAGCTAGCCCATAGACAGATTGGGAATAAGAAAGGCATCTTCTGCTGCTTTGCAAGTGCAAGGACCCGAGTTCAATTCCCCAGTAACCGCCCCCCAAAGGGTATCTTATTGTGTCCACTCTACGAAATCCCTACCACTGTATTCAGGCAGTTGATAATTTCCAGCCCTTACGGAAATACTCACTTTTCCCAAAACATCTATACTAGTTCACTAATTAGCTATGCCCTAAAAATAAAGCTATATCCCAGTTCCTTAAATACAAGCAAGAAAAGCTTACTTCAGGTAATAAATACTAGGATCACATTTACTATAGAACAGAAATTGAAAAGGGTTCAGAGCTCGACCTCTTTAGATGTACTATGTGATCTGAATCTCAGCCACTTCCTGTTAGACAAGTTAACACAACCTCTCTTCATGACTTCAACCATAAAATGCAGTCATCTCTCTCACACGGTTGTCTTGAAGACTGCATACTTATAGGGCTTGGAAATAATTTGGTATGTAGTCGAGGCTTTATGTCTTACTTATTGTAATATATGTAAAAGGAAAATCTTTCAAAGTTGATTCTGTAGTTAAAGAGAATATAATCTAGACCCAGATGGCCTGGGTTTTAATCCCTGCTATTACATGAACATGGATGTTAGTTTCCCCCACTTAACCAATATGCTATAGTTTCTGATATCAAAGTGTAGACGGCTATAATACTTCCTACATTTGTTATGAGATCAAATTAGTTAATATAAGTTACTGTTTCAAAAAGTTGTAATACACTGAAAATCGAGTCAACCCCTACACCCAAGCCCTTTCACTAGGGATCCCCAGCCCCCCCACCTTTTTTCCAGACAGGCTCTGTCTCACTAAGTTGCCCAGGCAAGACTCAACCCTGTGATCCTGCCAAGTGCTGGGATTACAGGAATGTGCCACCAAGTCTGGCCCATTCTTTCAGGCTTAGTTCAGGTCAGATTTTGGTGGGGGAAAAAGGCACTGTATTCAAATGTCCCCCAACTTATGTACTATAGCCACTCAGTCTAATGGAAGTTGTAAAATGATCTATGGCACTCAACATCAATTTGTAATTTTATTTTTTTGATTTTTGTTATCCAACAGTCCTATCTGGGATTATACTATAGTTGGTCCAAAGGACTACAGTAAAAAACAGTAAGGTTATCTGATCTAAGAAACAGTCAAAAGATTTAAGTTGAAGAAAAATTCATAAATGCCTTTGCCAAATGAATTACTAAAGATTAACAGTATCTCAATAATAAGCATTTCAATATTAGTGAGGACTATAGAGGTCTTTTTTAGGGGCTTCACATAAGCATAAAAGCAAAACAAGGGGCCAGGGATTTAGCTCAGTGGTTCCGCTGCCTGCCTTGCAAGCACAAGCCTCATACCCATAAACAACAAAAAACAAAAACAAAAACAAAAGCAAAACAAATAGCTAACAAGTCATTGACATCAATGGCTACTCTAGCCCCCCCCCTTTTAAGAAAGAGGTATTTTAAAATAAAGCATTTCTCTTTAAAGCTGTTGCCAATTAAAAGTGACTTGTGTGATACTGGAGATAGAATGCAGGGCCTTGTACAAGTTAAACTAATGGAGGGGGTGAAGGAAAGGCAGAGGGGACATGGGGAAAAAAATGAGAACCAAGATCTGACATATAAAGGCACAAGATCCCAATAATGAATGTAACTGTACAGTATACTTAAAAAATACCAATAAACTCAATAAAAAAAGAAAAAAAAAAAGTTAAGCTAATGGTCTATGTAGCTACAAGCCCAGGCCTTTTTCTAACTCGAGACAAGGTCTCCCAAAGTAGGCTGCCTTGGAAATTGGTTATACTGTATATTTTAAAAGCTTGCGCATGTGATCCTGACAGTAACAGCTGGGGAAAGAAAAAAAAAAAAAAAAAAAAAAA